ACTTTATTTATGTTAAATAACTACAGATTCATGCTCTATGCTCCGCTCGAAACTTTTGCCAGCTGTTTGATGCGAATTTCTACCGATCGCGAGTAGTCGGATCCCGTTTCGTACACAAAAATGGCCGATCGGCGACCATGGCTACGCCACTAGCTGGAATGGCACAATTACACAACAAGACCCATTTTACTTCTAATGCTTTCGAAACGTCCACGAGGCATCTAACTTGCGTGCATAATGCAAATTATTGCACTCTAGTGCCGAATTTCTGCGAAAAAAAAATGGTAAAAAAGGCATTTTCTACAGACGATATAGTGAACAATTGCGGAGGCTTACTGTGGTACACCTCCTTTAAAAACGAGCAGCGGAGATACGGATCGACTTGAAATTTTAGATGAATGATTTAGAGCCTTTTCCTTATACGGGTACCGAATTTCAAATGTGGCATAACTCCAGGAGCTGAGAGATCACTCTCTGAAATGAGCCCCCAAAACACAGAAATCAATAGAAATTAATGTTTGCTTCATGCGGTTAAGCGCATTGTTAGAACGAGGGTTAGGGTCAATTGCAACCAACAAATTTAAGATATTTTGATACTGTTAGTGTTAGGAGTGCCATAAAAGAGTAAAACAAGGATAATTATCTATTTTATGGTACCAAATAAGTGTAAAATGAGTGTATTTTAACGTAGATATGTAAATGACATGTACATTATGTACACGGATATGTTTCTGTTTACATAAAATACATGTGTAAGTGTTATTCGAACACGCATGTGTCTAAAAATCATGCTAGAGCACTTGCATAACTGATTTTCATTAACATAACACTCAATTATTCGATTTCTTTGGCAGAATAGCACTCCTTACCAGGCGGCTTAAGGTGTTGCACAACAGTAGAGGGCGTCCATAGGCGGCAGGCCTGAATAAGCATCGAACAGAAATTAATTAAAAATACACTGTTACTGCGCTTACACAACATACACTTTATTCATGTTAAATATCTACAGATTCATGCTCTATGCTCCGCTCGAAACTTTTGCCAGCTCTATGATGCGAATTTCTACAGAGTAGTCGGATCCCGTTTCATACACAAAAATGGCCGACCGGCGACCATGGCTACGCCACTAGCTGGAATGGCACAATTACACAACAAGACCAATTTTACTTCTAATGCTTTCGAGACGTCCACGAGGCATCTAATGCTAGCCGCACACTATCCGATTTTGCACTGTGCACAGCACTGTGCCCCGCACACTATACGACCCACTCCCGATCGATCGGGAGGCCCCCGCACACTGTCCGACTCAAAGTTGGCGCAAACCATGGCACTCTCGTGGCGTTCCAAGCGGATTTAGCGTGTACTAAGGGTCGGGAGTGTTTTCCCGCCATTTTTACCGAATGCGGTTCCCATGGCGCTGCTCTGTGATTGATCAATTTTCTTCAGCGCTCGCCGATCGGGTTGGATGGCCACGCACACTATCCGAGTCGCGTCGTAAGCCCTCGCACACTATCCGCTCCCGATTCAAAATTCGAATCGGGCCAAAATGACCTCCCGAGCCAAACTTAAGCCTCCCGATCGCGCTCGGGTCGGATAGTGTGCGGCGAGCATTACTTGCGTGCATAATGCAAATTATTGCACTCTAGTGCCGAATTTCTGCGAAAAAAATGCTAAAAAAGGCATTTTCTAGAGACGATATAGTGCAACGGTAAACAATTGCGGTGGCTTACTGTGGTACACCTCCTAGAGAGACGCCTATGTTACACATAATTTAACCCCTATTGAACTTTATTAAACTGAATTTTTACCGCGGTTAAATTATGTGTAACAAGACATCTGATTGATTAAAAAGGACATAATTTAACCACGATTGAATTATTTCTACCACGGTAAAAATAAATATTTCTGAGTACGATGGCCAACCATAGACGCCTAACGATACAAAGCAGACAGTGTAATGAGTTATATATCATTGTTTGTACTATCGGGCATTACAACAGTCGCTAGCAGTAAATAATTACTGAATAAATCCCATATTTTGCTAAATCATGCAGCGCTCGAAAATAACCAGGTTCTTTAGAAAATGCCGGAATTACGTTCGCGCTGTGCCATCACTCTAGCAACGGGTTTTCCTGAAACTTGGTACAGGTGTTAGGTATGAGAATACGTTGAAAGCTTCCGCTGTTCGGGCTGAATGGCAAAGTTGCTGTTGCTGATTTTAGAAAATGTTCGCAGCTGCTCTAGTGGGTGGTTTAACAACAGCATTGTTCTTTTTACGGGTAAGCAATAGCATAAATTATAGAGCGATAACAAATAAACTCTTTTCATTCTCTTTTAATCAACAAGTCGCTTAAGAATAAATGCTATTCTAGAGAAGACCGAGAAATTGTTCGTAGCACAATATATAGGCCTACTTTAATTATGTGCAATAATTTATCTTAATAATCTTATAATCTTAATTATCTTAGACAATCATAATGTTTTTATTTCGAGGTACACGTTGCTCTGAGATACCTAATAATGCATATGTGAACAACGCTGAGAGAAAATTTAGGGGTGGATAATTCACGTGAACATTAGAATATTCTGCTGTTAAAGACCGTATACAGGAACACTTGTTAAACACGACATGTTTATATTAAGTCATACGCGCGACACTAGCGCCGACCAACGGCGAGTTACTATCTGCAGGATTCCCGCTGCTTGGTAAAAAGCAAGAGGTTGAAAGCTTGCTTCGTCGCTCGTTCATGAGTGAGTGACGTCACGTCCATGCGGACTTAAACTCCTGTTTTAAGGTGCATTGTGACCCTAACGCTAACCCTAACCCTAACCCTAACCCTAATCCTAACTCTAACCCTAACCCTAACTCTAAAAAATAACCCTAACCCTATTAAAAACAAAATTAATTAAATTTTGTACAGTCGAACCTGTGACGTATGTCTGACGTATGTGAGCGACGAAACAAGCTTTCAACCTCTTGCGCTTGGTAACAACATTTGATTCTAGGCAGTTAGTCGTAAATAGAGGCACTTGAGTGCATAAAGCAAGATGATTTATTTTAATTCGCTGTGTTATCAGGTTTTAATTCGTGAGCTTATTGCTTTAGGTCGCTTGCACAAAATTGTGATAATAAAAGTTAATAAAACGTATTTTAAGCAGGCTAACGGTTTTGTTTACTACAATAGATGCAGCGTATATGGTTTCAAAGGCACGGGTCATTTGAGATTAACACATTATTAATTCACAAAATAATTGGTATAATACGCGAGGTGTTTTTTTAACTACAGGTTGGCGAATTTAAGCAAAGTGCGGTTCAAAAACAAGCTGAATATGTGTTCATGGGGTTTGCATATTCCGTTTGAACACGCCAGTGACTGGGCCGCGGGAATAAGAGACAGATGAAAAGGCTGCGTATCTTACACATAACACTACGGAATGTGGTAACCTTCGGGTGCCACATCTCCACAAAGTGCAGTGAAGTGAACGCGGTAAGCACTTTCTAGCTACGCGAGAATCTCTCTTCCTCGGGGTCCTCATCTCCATCGTGTTTTTTTAACAAATATAATATAGTTCACATCGTGCTTCCTGATGTTCTTTCTGTGCGCTTTGTGCTGCATTTGATCGCAGAAAGTTTTTTTTCGGCGCTTTTACCTGGCACAGAACTGATGAGTCATTCTATGCTTACAATGTCCACTCACAGTTTGCAACCCGTTAAAATCCGTTGAGTGGCGCTAGTGTCGCGCTTGAACCCGCATTTCGGTCAGCTGTTCCGTCTTTATTGTATACGATCTTTGTTACTATAGATAATTGCATACATAAATCATACATGATATAAATTATTTTAATGTTTAGGGCCGCACGCATAATCTCAACCATTCCACGGTATTGGAGTTCATCGTGATTCGGTTGCTGCGCGGTGGAAAACTGGCTGCGTCCAAGGTCACCATGCCCCGTAACTGCAGTAGTTGAATGCCCTGTAAATCTAAGAAAAAGAAGTTCTATCCTCTATCGTTCAGTTGATGGCCAATTCTTCTGCAGAGGTAGAGTTCTCCGCCTGAAAAATAGAATCACGGAGACGCGTACTTCCGGAGATGTTGAACCTGGGCTGTCTTAATTGCGGTTTCTCTCTCTCTCTCTCTCTCTCTCTCTCTCTCTCTCTCTCTCTCTCTCTCTCTTTCTCTTTCTCTATTGTTAATACAGCCACTTCCCGCTGACATCTGGGCACAGTGCCACAGACGATCTTCGACTGATAGCGTTTCCTCCCCGCTATAAAACGTGCATGGCAATGGATGTTTACTAGAAGAAAAAGAATTAATACCACTAGACAATACTGGGCGGGAAAACATACGTTCCGTCCTGTCCGCCATATGACACTCCGGCATTTTTCGACAGACGGATGCAAGAGCACACAGACAAAAAACATAATTGCTTTAATGGATTCCAGGCACGTCGTTTATCCGTTTATTATGTGGACGTGTTTTTCGCGCTAGTAAATTGTCTTACAATTCATACATGCACCAGCGATAGTCAATTATGGTGTTCACGCATTATCGGTCATTCGTGACATTGCCTTGCGGTTCTGGCACTAACCAGTTTCTACCATATATAAATAAGGGTTTCAACATCTGTAGATAGATATCAGCGCACATACATTCTGAACAGATCTGCACAGCTAACACGCGCGTCGGCTACTCCTGGGTATTATAGAAAGGATCGATGCTCATATTACGTTGCACAAGCTTATACAAGGTATATTAATTACTCCAGATATTGGAGATCAACCAATATGATCGACTTATTACAAGTCATCTGGAAGATTTAATAACCTGGTGACACGCGGCGATTGTTAAAATATTTGAGCTAGATTAAAAGTTTATTAAAGATATTTTGTTAAAGATTATATTATAAACGTCAATAATATAGCTGCCATCTAAGCAGATAGATAAACAATAACGCCGTATTATCGTGTGTGTGTGTGTGTGTGTGTGTGTGTGTGTGTGTGTGTGTGTGTGTGTGTGTGTGTGTGTGTGTGTGTGTGTGTGTGTGT